TATATTCTATATTCTATATTCTATATTCTATATTCTATATTCTATATCTATATATGTGTGTGTGTGTGTGTGTGTATTTCTTAAGTTTTTGCGGGTATTTATATATATGGTATTCAGCTTTGTTCGGGTGTTTTCCCACGTTATTATAATTGTGCTTTTAAAGTTGTAGCAACGTTTCGGCAGAATCTCATCTGCCATCATCAGACTTCTGTATTGTGTTCGTCTGTGAGTCAGACTTTCACAGCCGTTTCTGTTTTAAATTTGGTGCTAGCCTACTGCTGTGCCAGAATGGTTTTTTCTTCATCCTGATTGGTTGGGAGTCTTGGTCTGCGTTTATTGGTCTTGGAGTTTGCTGTGTTCTGCTTGATTGGTGTTTCTAATATCTTCTGTCTGTTTTGTGGCTTTTTTGGTCTTGATTGGCTGGCAACATTGTGTTTCCTGTATTGGAGGCTTTTAGTGCAGCTTGGCTCCGAGTAAACAGACGTCTATAATTTATTAGGAAGCTAGGTTTCATCTGGGTACCTGGTTGGGGTGTGTTTGAGCTGGTGATATCAGGGGGAGTCTGTTTGTGCCCAGGTGTTTGCCTGGCTTGTGGTGTGGAGATTTTTTTGTTTGAGAGTGCAGGCTTCCAGATAATTGACAGTCTGTTGGAGTCATCTCTTCTATTCAAGCTTTCAGGTCTTTTTTCAATCTCTATGGTTTCTCTGATAATTCTGTAGCTGGGGTTTTCTATAGTGGCTAGGGTTTTGGTGCCATTGAAGTCGATGCTATGGCCTGTTCTGTCTCACCTGTAGCCACAAGGTGAGAGTCCAAATTTCCAAAGGAAAATACACAAACAGACAGGAACAGGAACGACAGAGTTAACTTCCTTTGGTTGAATCTGTCTTTGGCAGTTTTCCCAGAAGCTGCCTACCAAGTCTGATAACAAGCAGAACCATAAATCAGAGGCGAGCGCCACACAGAATAATTTGTCCGAACTGATAACTCAAATAAACAAGTTGACCCGAACAGGGATTCAGAGCTAACACGCCTCCTTATATTCCCTGAGGGGCATGTCAGTCTCTTTTCTCAGTCTCTGATTTGACATTTCCTTTTACGTTGTATGTCACGTTTCTGCCTGCGTCTTTGCCTCGCATCAGACCAGCATTTCTCGGCTTGATCTTCAGCCAAGGACTCCGGCACGCTCTCCTGATTATCTGCCGACACCTGAGGCACAATCAGGGAGGAAGATTCTGGGGAGGAAGACGACTCCGAAACTTCCAGCAAAGCAGGCTCAAATCTTAGAGCCAAGTCCTCCTCTTCCTCCTGACTCCCGTCTGTGTCACTCAACAAAGCAGGCTCAAACCTTAATGCCAGATCTTCCTCATCACTCGAGCCTATGTCTTCTGACAGAGCAGCTTCAAACCTCTGAGTCACAACAATGACCTGTGGCTTTCATGTGTTGGACTAGTGAGGAAGTGTGTTCCAGCTTTTTTACTGCAATTTTGTGTTCATCCAGGCGGGTACTTATTCTTCCATTGGTCTGTCCAATGTATGTGGCAGGGCATGATGCACAGGGGACTTCATATATGCCTTGGTTTTCCAGGTCAATTTTATCTTTGGGGTTTCTTAGGATGGCTGCTATTTTTCTGTCTGTTTTGAAGACAGTCTTGATGTGATGCCTGTGTAGTATCTTACTGATTTTCTCTGTAGTACCTCTTGTGTAGGGCAGGACAGCTGTTCCATAGGTCTGTTCATCTTCTAGGTCTCCATTATGTCTCAGTGTGTTTCTGTGGATCAGGCCTGTGATTTTGCTTTTGTGGAAGCCGTTGGCTGTCAGTACTTTAGTCAGGGTGCATAGTTCAGTCTTTATGTGTGTCTTATCTGCCAGGCGTTTGGTTCTGGCAATTAGTGTTTTGGCCACGGAGTTTATCTGTGCTGGGTGGTGGTGGGATTGGGCGTTGAGGTAGCGGTTGGTGTGTGTTTTCTTCTGGTATATGGTGTGTCCTAGTGTGCCATCTGTTTTTTTGTAGATTAGTACATCTAGGAATGGTGGTTGTTTGTTTGTTTCCGTTTCCATAGCGAATTTGATTTTGGGGCGTGTGCTGTTTAGGTGTGTTAGGAAATTGTTTAGGTTTTCTTCTCCATGGGGCCAAATAACAAATGTGTCATCAATGTATCTTAACGATAGTTTGGGTTTGTGGATGGCATGGGCTAGGGCTCTGGATTCGAATTGTTCCATGAACAGGTTTGCAATGACGGGTGACAGTGGTGATCCCATAGGGGCTCCTTCAATTTGCTTGTATCTTTGTCCTTTGTATATGAAATATGTGTTGGTTAAGCAATGTTCTGCTAGTTCCATGAGGTGTTTGGGTGGTTGGTATTTATTTTTGATGATTTCGAGAGTTTCTTTTATCGGGACTTGAGTGAATAGTGAAACCACGTCGAAACTTACAAGCAGATCTTCTTGTTCCATGTGTAGATCTTTGATCATTTCCAAGAGGTGGTATGAGTTTTGTACATGTGAAGCTGCTGCTTCAGCATGGGGCTGTAGCTGCTTTGCTAGGTATTTGGCTAGGTTTTGTAGTGGTGCTCCTCTGGAGCTGACTATGGGTCTGAGAGGTATGCCTTCTTTGTGTATTTTTGGGAGGCCGTATAGTTTGGGGCATCTGGAAGATTTTTCTCTTGGGATGATCGTCTGTTGGATCTCTTTGCTCATGTGGCTGGTTATAATTTTCTTCTTGGTTATTTTTTCCAGATATGTGGTTGGGTCCGTGTTTATGGGTTTGTAAAAAAAAGCACAACTATAATGACGTGGGAAAATACCCGGACAAAGCTGAATACCATACATATAAATACCCGCAAAAACTTAAGAAAACAACACACACACACACACACACACACACATACACACACTTGGTATTAAATTCAAAATGTTCCTTGCATATACATGCCATCAAGCACCTTGCACCAATGCTGGAGCCCCTGCTCCTCATAGAGCCCCTGTGTTCAGTGGGCACGCACAGATTCTTGACCACAGAATCTACGGAGAGCAGCTCAGGGGAAAGAAAGTTTCGTGATTCCATTGAAATAGTAGAAATAAAAATCCCGTTCAGATCACAGAGTGACACCTGCTTCCATGGCTGTCATTCTCACCGGACTCCCTTCAGAGAGCGTGCCTCCCCGCTGGATCAATTGAAGGCCCAGCGCTGAGGGAGGACTAGTAAGGAGGCAACGCCTGGGGTTGAGCCTCCGTATGCCTTTGCCTGGACTCCTTTCCCTGCGGACTCAGCGTCCCACCTCCTGTCCTCCTGTAGGGCTTTCTGCAGGGGACTCCTGCCACCGGAGCTTGCTGGTGAATGCAGAGGGACCCAAGAGAAAGGAATCCTAGGGCTGGCTCCTTCTTTGGCCCAGGGCAGGCATCCTCCAGCCATTCTGGACCAAGGGTTGTCCAGCCTGGAAAACCTCCAGGGACAGAGCATCCGCCGCCTTATGAGGCAGACTTTTCCATTGCTCAGGAGCTCCCACCCTCCTGAGCTTGGATCTCTCCCTTTTTCACCCACATATTCTATGTCAACTTCCTTTGATCAGATCTAATCTAGATACTTTGAGGCAGCAGACCCATTAAATTGTGCCCTATATTTCAAACTGGTCAGCTTTCAGCTTGGCTGAGTTATCATCAGGTGCTGCTTGGATAACATTTGTAATTGTTTTTCATTCTTATTTTTCTTCTGTCTTGTAAACTATTGTACAAGGAATCTAAGGTGGATAATGTAAGCCCAAAAGTAAACATGCCCTCTTGCTTAATGAAAGTGCATGATAGAGATCCTTATACCTGCACACGTCCTCTGGCCCTACATTCCCTTTGGGGTAGGCAATGCCAGGCAACCCAAAGAGGGAATTCCCATCAAATCCAGCTTAGGCCAAGGCTGCTTATGACGCCTCCTCATGTCTTTCTACCCTTCTGGTAATTAAAATTAAACTCAAATATGTCATTTGAATCATTATTGGGGAAACTGGGAATATTTAGAATCTATAACTTGTATGAATAAAGAAAGCAGTTGCCAAAGGAAAAATGCAACAGCTGCAGCAGCTTCCAAGTCAGATGGAACACCAAGGCCAGCGTGCCGAGCCAACCCATCCCAAGCGGCCGGAGAGGGTGACCGGCTTCCTCTTGGAACGATCAGAGAAGAACAGCAATTCTGGGCAGCTTGTCACAATCAGTCTTGTTATGGAGAAACCCTGAAGCAGCTTCCATGGCATTCCAGAAACTTGCTGCTCATGGGGAGCAAACCAACAGCTGACAAATACCAATCGTATGCTGGTAAGTTCTCAACTTGTCTGAAATTAACTTACTTTCAATAATGTTTTTTTTTTAAATGAGACCATACATGTATATCTTAAATGTACTTACCTCTGTTATATGAGGATTAGGATCAAAGCCGCATAAACTGCAGACAACGGTTTGACACTGGGTGCAAGTGTTATAATTGGCCTTCTCAGGATCCTGCAGGAGGAGTTCGGTGGTTGTGCAAAGTGAGCATAAGGTGACCTTTGTGGCTTGTAATCCGGGTTGTGACGGAGCCACAGGTTGCTGCTGGGAAGGTCTGGACAGTGGAAGACCAGGTTTCGTAGGCCCCGTCTGGGGCTGGACTTGTTGGGCGGGAGGCTTTGCGGGGAGCCCAGACTGCTGAGGGGGCTGCTTTCCAGGTCCTCCAGGCTGGGGGAGGGCTGCTTTTGTGGGACCGGTCAAACGTTGCAGTGGTGGCTCAGTGGACGCTGCTGGCTCGGCCTTCATAGGCCCTTCCGGCTGTTGAGCTTCCTGCTTAGGAGGAGCCGCTCCCTGCTGGGCAGCTGGTTTTCTGAAAGCAGGGGGCGGGGAGGCTGTTTTGCCCAGGCCCACACCAGGAGGCCTTTCAGCTCCTGGCTGCTGGGGGGAAGGTCTTGCAGGCCCCGTCCATTCTGGTTTTGGGAACTGGGACGAGGGTGGTCCTGGGTATGGTCCTGCTTCCACTGTGGTTTGGCCAGAGTGCAGTTTCTGGCTCTGCCTAGGCATTCCAGGAGGCAGTTGCTGCTGCTGCTGTGGTGGTGGCTGCGGTGCCTGCTTGGGAGGCGCTGCTTTTTGTGGGGCCGGTTTGACAGGCCCATGTTGTGGACCACTTGGCTTGGGAGATGAATGTGGCAGAGGCTGCTTGGAGAGCCCCCCTTGTGGTTCAGTTCTACCCTGTTCCTTTTGGGTGGGCTTTGCTTTCTTGGAGGCTTCATTTTGGTTTGTATCCGAGTCGGAGATGAAATCAAAAGGATTGAATTTATTTACAACTGATGTGACTGCACCAAATGGGTTGGCATCTGAGAGAAAGCTGGGCATCATAGTTGGCTTCTGATCCTCTTTTAAGTCAGTCTTTGATTTAGACTCTCTCAAACTCATGGACGATGTGCTTCTTCCAGGGACCCGTTGCTCCGTTTTCAGGGTATCAACTGTTTTGCTTTTAGTGAGCGTGGCAGGCCCAGGATCTGGAGGCTTGCCCTGGTGTGTGGGATGATCACTGCCATCAGGTGGGGCGGGTCTGTAAAGATATCATGATATAAGCAAAGTTAACCTCCGAGTATTAGAAACAAAAACCAGAAAATGAATTCAAGGTTTTAATTCAAATAAAGATGACCTTCCCATTTCCCATCCTTCACATGCGGAGGTCATTTTCCAAATTGAGAGGATAGGTGACAGGTGACAAGTAGGTGATGTAAAATTATATATGACATTTCCTGCTGGGGCTGATGAATTTTATTAGTGGCTATTGTTATATTTACTAGTTTCTGACTTTCACTATAGTATGTTTATGGACCAGCAAAAATCCAACCTGAGAAACTTCTCATCTTCAAAGAATCCTAGCATTGGAAGGAATCTTGAAGGTCTTAAGACCAGGAAAACCTCAGACCGTCCCAGGCCAACGGCTTTAAAATCTTCACTTCAAAATCCTCAGTGAATGAGACCCCATGACTTCAGAAGGCAGAGAAACTCTTCCACTATTTAAAAGCTCTTGAAGAGTGAAGCAAAGGGCTAAGCTGAATACCCACTTTGGACAATTTTTGTGTAACCTTTTACACAGGCATTACACACTGTTAAGATATGAATATATAATTCAAAAATCATATGAATCCCACCAACCAAGGACTGAAGTGGCTGAATAGTTTTAAGACCAGAAAGGATGGCCCATTTTTTTCAGGCTACATCTGACTGGATGGATGAGCATAATTTGTGCATGCCTATACTTCAGAAACTCAACATTGCACAAGGAATGTATCAAAAATGAAGCTTTTTATCTCCGAATAAAATGATAATAATGTACATAAAGCAAAAGTCAATAAAAGACTCAACTTTTAGTTCTAATATGTGTGCTGCCACTATTTTGGAAAACTGTCAGAGTGAAATTCTGTTCTCTTCAGCAGAGTTGGTGTTGGTGAATGGCTGAGATACATTTCTCTCTCTCTGAAGAATAGTTTGTTCCTTAACTCTTATTTTGAGTTATGTGTTTCAGTTTTCAGCATCAACTATTAAAAGTCCTGATGTCTACAGACATTATTCCCCGCTGCACATTAATTTTAAAAGTATGGTACTCGTGACATTTAACCTATTAAAATTTCTCTGCTCTGCGAATAATAAAAATAAAGTGACCCTGCAACAATTTTTAATCAAGAGCTTCTTCAGGGCGTCGCGACGATACGGCATGCGATCTTGGAGGTCTGAGATCGCTGCCGATATCCTTGCTCCTGGACGGTCCAATCGGATCTAAACCATCCCGAAGAGATGGTGAATGTAAAGAGCGCATCCTGTCGATCCCAGGGATACCGCAAAGTCCCTGGTAGATCCAGGAGAAGCTCTTTTTGCCAGCGGCAAAGAGGCAGCCATTAAAGCTGCTGAAGTTGGGAGAGCTCCGAAACGAAAGAGAACGGAAAGAGAAAGTGTGCCGGTTTGGTGACAACTTTTTCTTTATTTTAAGATTTGAAAGGACACCCTAAGGAAAAGAAAGAATCTGTAAAAGTTTTGACAGAAGTGATTAAGCAGCGATTTTAAACAGGAAGTCAAAGTAATATTTTTTTATTTTCTCATTGCCGGATTTTCTATACATGATTTTATATTTTGAAACTGGAGTGGTTTTTTCTTCTTCCACCTATTCTTTCTCTCCTTTTTGACTTTATAATATTTTAGGCTAGAGACTCCCTTTTAGTCATCTTTTTAAATATCTTTTTCCCTTTTTAATTAATTTTCATTATATTTTGTTTGGAAAAGGAGGGGGAAAGTGAAAGCAAAAGAAACTTTGTAACACTGCCAACTAGAGGCTTGGAAATATTTTTTTTTCTTGACCAGACAAAGCTGAGAAAGAACTGAGACTTCTTTTCAAGGACTTTGAGCCTGTTTGATAAGATAGAGGGAAGAGCATGGGAGAGTATTATTGCAGGTGCTCTTCTGGGTTTCTATCAACAGGAGTCTGGTGTTGAAGCTTATAGAAAAAAAAAGGGTGATAAGACTCTGGAGAAGAGAGTTATAAATTTTAACAAAAGCCTTGGACAATCAAACAAGGTACAGTGTGCTCTTTTTATTTTTTTTAAGCTGTGCTTTTTCTTACTTTAACAAACCCCCTCCTTACTAGTTTACTTTTCGTAATACCTATTTGAATTTTTGGCCCTTTGGAACTTGATTTTTGTCTTTCTTTTTGTCTTTTGAAGTCAAATTTTTATGCTTGCATTTTATTTTAAAGGAAAAGTTTTAGTATTAATGATTTCTTTCCTTTTTTTAAAAGGGAGTAGTCCCTTTTCTTTTTTCTCTCTCCCTCCACTGTATTTTTTTCTCTCTATTTACCTTACATATTGGGGTTTTTTTGTGGCTTTCTTTTTTTTCCTTATGCATCCTTTTCTACCTGAGACCTCTTAATTGGATTAAGGTGTTGAAGAACCTGAAGAACTTTTTTCCCCTCCTTTTTAGTTTTTTACCTTTTACTTTTCTGCCTTTTTCAGGATTTAACAATTTTTTCTTTTTTGTGTGTGTTTATGCTTTTTTCTTCCATTTTCGAGTTTTTACTGCTATCTAGCCAATTGATTGGATTAAGGTATACAAGAACCTGAATTATTATTATTATTATTATTATTATTATTGTTGTTGTTGTTGTTGTTGTTGTTGTTATCGCTACTATTTGGTTTCTTTTTTCCTACTATTTTTATTTGGAATTGCAATTGGTTATTTCACAAGTGGATTAAGGTCCAGAAGAACCTGAAGATTTTGAATTGTTTGAAATGAGTAGGAAACTAACAGCCCCTGGTTCCTCAACTTCTACTTATTCCTCTTCACCATCTGGAGGACAACGTTCAATACAGACAATGTTACAGCAAGAAAAGGAACAGGAAAAAGTGACCCTGCAGATGATTATGCAAGGAATTCAAAATATTCAAATAAGAACAGAGAATATTGAAAAGAGAATAGAGAACATTGAACAAAGAACAGGGAAAACTGATGAAGAGGTGGAGAACATTCAACAAATGATGATGAAGTATGATGAGAGATTCCAAAAAAATGAAGAAGAAGATAAACAAAGATATAAGAAGATTGGAGACATCGATAGCAGATTAACTGTGGTTGAACAAGATAAAAGTGGGATGCTGAGATGGGAGATGGACAGGTCAGAATTTTATCTCAGATTCCAAAACATAGAGGAAGAAAAGGGACAAAACCTAGCTGAGATAATGATAGAAATTTTGGCTGAAGCTTTGGAAATAACTAAAGAGAAGATGATGGATAGAATAGATGAGGTTTATCGAGTCTTCACAAGATATGCAATGAGAAATAGCTTACCAAGAGAAGTTCACATCAGATTTACAAAGAAAGCCATTAAAACGCAAATATTGCAAGTGGCAAGAGAGAAAACATTGAAATATAAAGACAAGGAGATTGTGGTCCTGAAACAAGTACCCAGAAGAGGGAGAGAGATGAGAAGAGAATACCAATTTCTGACCAAAATGCTACTTAAAAAAGAGGTGAATTATAGATGGCTGATTCCAGAAGGTTTAATGTTCACATGGCAAGAACAGAGACATAGAATTGACTCAATTGAGAAAGCTGAATTATTTTACACAGAATATTTTGGAATTATTTTACACAGAATATTAAACAGAATATTTTGGAGGGAAAGAGGAGGAGGCAGAAAAAGAAATGTCACTAATTGAATTCCAAGAGGATTGCCAAATGGCGACTGAAAAAGAAGAAGGTGCAGTAGGTGGAAAGGTGGAAGTCAAAGAACAACGTGAACCAAGATCCACGAGATCTGCTAAACCTAACTACAAAATATAATCATGGAAGAGAAAAAACTGATTACAATTAATATAAATGGACTTAACTCAGCTGTTAAAAGAAGGAAAACTTTCCATAAATTAGAGAAATTAAAATTTGATAAAATCTGCTTACAAGAAGTACATATCAAAAAGCAACACGAACAATTGCTGATACAGCCAAAATTAGGGAAAATATTTACTTCTTTGACACAATGCAAGAAAAGAGGAGTGGTTTTATACATTAAAGATATTATCCCAGTGAAATTGATCTATACTGATGACAATGGAAGAACACTAATGGTGGAAATAATAGACAATAATATGAAAACACTCCTGATTGCAATCTATGCCCCAAATGACAATCAAGAAGAAATTTTATAAAAAATTATACATGAAAATAATTGAACTGGACTATGCTAATATAGTTATGATGGGAGATTTTAATGGAATTGTAGATAATAAACTGGACTATACAGCACAGAAAACAACAAAGCAAAACAGAAAGACTCTCCCTAAATCTTTTTTTTTAAATGGTAGATGAAATAAATTTAAAAGATACATGGAGAGAAAGAAATGCTAAAACTAAACAATACACCTTCTATTCAAATAGACATTTATCATGGTCCAGAATAGATATGATATGGATGTCAACAGAATTGTTAGCTAATATTCAAGAAATAAATATTGAAACAAGTACTTGGGCAGATCACAATCTAATGACAATTAAATGGAAAGGACAAAGAAGAAGATCTAGATGGACGTTAAATAGTACTATATTAAAGGAGAAAGACTTCACACAGTGGATGGAGAAAGAACTGGCTTTCTTCTTTAGAGAAAACAAAAAGGAAGATACATCAATCCAAAATGTATGGGATACAATGAAGGCATATGCCAGAGGCTTGATAATAGACTATACAAGGAAAAGAAATACCATGAAAAGATTAGCCTCTAAGGCCTTAGAGGATGAGTATAAAGGACTTGAAAAAGAGCTACAGAAAATGCCACAGAAAAAGGACATGAAGTTAAAAATGGATATAATCAAACATAAAATGGGTCTAATAGAAAAAGAAGAATTAGCACAGAAAATCAGAGGTGCTAAACAGAACTATTTTGAAGATGCAAATAAACCAGGTAGATGGTTAGCATACAAATTGAGAAAGGAGAAAGAATCAAGGAAAATATTGCAATTAATAGATGACCAAGGCCAAGTTTCCTATGGTAATAAAGAGAAGAAGGAAATCATATG